GTATATAAGGTGGAAAATGGAACTCCGCAAGGTAGTGTGTAGCCCATTGTTATTCAACATAATGATAAATGACATCTTCTCTCAGTTGAACAAAGCGTAGGGAAATCTTTGTACGCAGATGACGGGGCTCTGTGGGTAAGAGGCCGCAATGTGTTGCACGTCAGTAAGAAATGCAAGCTGCAATAGCTGCTGTGGAAAAATGGGCAAATAAATGGGGATTCAAGTTATCTGTTGCAAAAACACAGGTGATCTGTTTCTCAAGGCGGCATAAAGTCACGCCTATTTCCATGAAGTTATATGAACAACCATTGAGCAAGTCAAAACAATTAAATTGGGGTTTGGTTTGATGAGAAGCTCACTTGGAATACTCATTTAGACAAAGTTAAGAACAAGTGTAAAAAAGTCATCAATATACTTCGTTGTCTGTCAGGACAAGAGTGGGAGCAAGCAGAGCAGCTCTACAAATATATACCGGGCACTCATGAGATCCGTTTTTGACTATGGATGTGTAGCGTACATGTCAGCAGCAGAATCAACCTTAAGAAGTTGGATGTATTACAAGCTCAGGCCTTGAGAATTTGCAGTGGATCAGTCAGAACATCTCCGGTGTCAGCAATGCAGGTGGAAATGGGAGAAATGCCGTTAAGAATCAGGCGAGTAAAGCTAATGTTGGCATACTGGTTAATCTCCAGGGGCAATGTGATTCTCATCCTGCCAAGAGTCTTTTAATAGATTGCTGGGAACACAATGAGACAAATTTCACAAGTTTTGGGTGGATTGGTGATGCAAAGGCAGAAGTCATAGGATTATGACAATTAGATTAGACATTCCTCCCTGGTTATTCCCAACACCAAGTGTAGATCTAAACATACAGCAGGAATTGAACGATATGTTAAAGAAACTTCCAGAATGCAGCATAGTACAGAATTACTTTGATTTACATTTCTCAGACTCCATGTTATATTCACAGATGGCTCCAAAGATCCTGATACAGGGCGTGCAGGTGCAGCAGTATAATCCCAGCAAGTGAGTCATATATCAAGAAAAGAATATCAGATCATGTGTCAGTGTATACCACAGAGTTGACTGCAATATTACTGGCCCTGCAGTGGATAGAAGAGAGGGAAACAAATAATACTGTTATTGCATCTGATAGCTTGTCTGCTCTAATGAGTATTAAATCTGGCAAATCATCATTTAGATCCAATATTCTCAATGACATATTCCTTATATTGTACAGGATGGAGCTAAAAGGTTTATCCACATGCTTCCTTTGGGTTCCTGCTCATGTTGGTGTGGAGGGAAATGAGCAGGTGGATATTCTGGCCAAAGGAACACTCAAAATCAAACATGTAGACCTAAAAACCCCATTAACTAAAGATGAAGCTAAGACATTTATCAGGACCTATGCACAGTCAGTTTGGCAGGAGCATTGGGACAATAGTGAAACTGGAAGGCACCTATATAATGTACAGAGACAGGTTGGTGCCGGAAGGACGGTGGGCTGGAAACGTAGGGAAGAAAATATAATCACTCGTCTGAGAATAGGACATACAGGTCTCAACCTTTCGTTATATAAAATAGGGAAGCACCCAACTGGGAAATGTATATATGTAACCAACTAGAAACGGTTGAACATGTTCTCCTTCAGTGTAGGAGATACACTATCAAGACGGAACGCCTCTTTCAGTCATTACGGAAGGCAAAACAGTGACAGGTCATTGACAGGTCTCTTGGGGAAAACAGCAGGCAAGATATATTGTCATATATTAAGTTTCTTAAAGAAACTGAGTTAGAAAAAATAATTTAATTTATGTTGTTTATTTTTGTTTTTTTTGTTTATTTCATTTATTTCCTGCCCTGCGATGGACTGGCGGCCTGTCCAGGGTGTACCCCGCCTTGCGCCCGATGTCAGCTGGGATTGGCTCTAGCCCCCCCCGCGACCCTGTATGCAGGATAAGCGGTTGACGATGGATGGATGGATGGATTTATTTCCTGCTTAATCCCTCGTTCCAGTCCAGTTGTGGCGGTAATGCACCGTTAAACTGGTTTGCCAACCGCCATTAAACCCTAAAGAAGAATAAGGTGTGGCAGGCTGACGAGGTGGCTGATGAGGTGCAGGCGCAGGTCGTTGGCTGGGCTCAGGAGCGGAGGGAGAGAGAGAGAGCACACAGAGGGGAGGAGACACAGGGAGGCAGGCAGAGAACAGAGAAAACCAAGGAAAAAGTAGAATAACTGATGAAAAGGAGAAAAAAACAGGACACTCACCGTCAGCTGGGCTGACACCACAACACAGAGTCCTGTTTGTGCATTGAAGAGGAAAAGGCAAAATGTAAGTACACAAACCTCAATGCATTATATTCACAAATTATTATATGTAAAACCCACTGTCATATTTTAGCACTTTTTTCTATAAATAACCCAGTCATAAATATAGAGCGGAAGCTACCACTGAGGTAAAGTGAGCGGGAGAAGTGTGAAACAATGGTGTTGGAAGAATGGGCTTTTCCTGTAGGCATACCGTGAACTGAATAAAATGGTGGTCAGACACATGTAAAGGTGTGACTGTTAGGCACTCTGTGGCACAGGTTCGGACAAGAACGAGGTCTAGCACCTTGCCAGCTTTGTAGGTCGGGGGGCTGAGAACCCGTGTTAGATCAAAGGACTGAATCAGAGACAGGAAGTCTGCTGAGTTTGAATTGTCTAAGTGAATGTTCATGTCACCGAGGACAAGTACGGGACAGTCATGCTCTGGGATTGAAGACAGCAGTGTGTCTAGCTCCTCCACAAAGCTACCCATTTGTCCTGGTGGACGGTATGACAATCACAATATTTGTTATTTATACAGTGTAGATACTCAAAATCTGCAGGTGAAACGCACACCTTTTTGCTACTTTATACATTTTAGACGTTTTATTCATTCACAATGTCTGTAAAGCTTAACCCCTTTCTTTCCTTTACGTCAAAACTGAAAAGCAAAGATACAGTTTAACAGGCTATAAACTCGTGTTTCCTAAATCCTATGAGAATTTTTTGAGTCATATCAGTTTCATTATTCCTTCTTTGCCTTCAACTAAATTTAATTCATCTGAACTGTCTGAAAATGTCAAGCTCTAATGATTGAATGTTTGATTATTTCATCACCTTCCAGTTGCTGTTCTTTGTCATGGATGATTTTGTTCGGAACAAATTAACTGAATGGGGTCTCAGCGAGTTGAGAGAAAGATTTGAAGGTAAAGTATTACAATGCTTCTTTGTTGAGTGCAGGTTTTTTACAATATATGGAATGACCTACAAATACTAAAACATCTAAGAATCTACTAATAATGACATAAAACATGCTAAAGCATTCTTCTGCAGTACAATAATGACATACCCTTGATGGGCTTTAGCAAGACAAAAAGACAAGATTGAAAAGTGACAAATAATTAAAATAGACAATCAATGTGGATAGAGCTCATACAATTAGGCTATGAGCTCTGTGAGGCTGTAATTTTAATAAATAGTAAAATTAACAGCTGAGCCCCACATACTTCATCCTGTATTAAAGGAGTTTTTCTGCACTAACTTAGAAAATAATTCTCAGTTTTTCATTTTTAAATTACAGATGAAGGGATTGACGAGGAAAGTCTTTACTGTCTTTGTGATCAAGAAATTAATAACCTGATCACAAAGTTGGGACCAAGGGCAAAATTCAAGAAGAGACTCAAGTCCTTAAAGGTAATGTGAGGACTGTGAAGATGATTTACACATATACTGTATATGGTATAACAGGAGCAAAGATCAAGGACTGTTGATGACTCATACTGATAAAGGATTATAATATCTCAATAACAATAACAGCATTTATTAGATTTTTTAAAGAGGTCTTTGCTATTACAGATTTTAGACTACAGATTTTTCTTGTCTCACTAGAAAGAAGAAAATACAACAAATCAAACAGTTGATTCTTCTGCTCAAGTAAGTTAAATACAGTTTCATACAATTAGGTATCATCTAAGGCATTTATTAAAATCATGCAGTTTTTATTTTTAATGTCTGCTCACAGCCTTGAACTAAAGAGCGGTTGGTTATGGAGCAGTGGATAAGATACATGTCTTGGTGTGAGAGATCCAGGTTCAATTCACCAATGTGTCCCTGAGCAAGACAATTAACCCCTAGCTTCTCCAGAGGCGTGCAACCTCTGACATACTTAGCAATTGTAAGTTGCTTTGGATAAAAGCATCAGCTAAATGAACAAATGCAAAGAGTATTATTTTTATGTACAGTGTAACCAGGAGCATGAAGAAGCAGCTGATTTGCTCAGGTAAGGGTCACACGCCTTTATCTTCATTAGTACGCATTTGAGACAATAAAGTGTCGTTACTAAAACCATCTTTGATTAAAGAATGTCTCACTGGATCACAGTGTTGTTGACTGAGTAAAAGGGATTCTGAATGTGATTATGTAGGCCTTTTCTGGACTACACAACTCACACTTCCAGGGTTTGCCAGGCTCATCCTGGAGTGGATAAGAAGATAAATGCAAATATTGTTGAGTGAATTGTAAGGATTTGTCTTCAAGCCTATCGAGGCCGTTAGAGGGCAAAGCCTGTTTGAATATAATTTCTTGATCAATACGGTTTTAAGAGTCAAATATTCATCTTCTTCCTCAGGTTTGGCCATCACCAGTGACACAAGTGATAAAGGTGAGATACACAATATTACATTTACTGATTTGGCAGATGCTTTTATCCAAAGCGACTTACATTTGAGGAACAACATACAAGCATCAACAAAGCATGAAATACAATATATGGAATGAAATACAGCATGAGGTCTACAAGTGACAATACATGCTGGT